TATACCAGCATAATTACTATATCTTTTATGCCACGAAAACATTTCTATCGGTTGTAGACATACATGTATAAGCGTTACAAGCTCAAAGGTTTTAGCCTTGAATTCTGATTCCATATTTGGGCAAAATAATTTTCCGTTCATTTGATTGGACGGCTGAGTCGGCTAAAAACACGAGCGTGGTTCTAATCAGATAAGGGGAATTTAGACGCTTCGGGGTTATATGCTTCTGTTTTTCACGCATGCGCACAAGCCAAAATTTTGACTTCATTTGCGAATCTATTTCGATCTTTCTCTATCGTTCTATTTTTTCTTTGCCTTTCTTCTATATTAGCAGTTTTTTTGCCCACTTAATCGTCTTTTTTTTGTATAGAATTGTGGCTAGCCAACTTTTTAGGAAAGGAAAAAAGAGTAGCAGATAAACCGCCACATTGGCAGTGGATTTTTCCTCAAAATGTTACCTTTTCTGTGAGTGTAACGTTGTTAGGATTAGTCAGAATATCCAAAACGAGATATCGCTAGAAACTTTTTGTGACGTTGTTGCTTACAAATTTATTAACTTATATAAACTGAAAGCTAAATGGGTCTCGGAAGGAAAACATGCATGATCATGCATCGTTCGATATGGAGTGACAACGACCAAAGTAGTCGTCAAAGGTTTAAGGTCATCGAAATCACAATGTTAGAAGAACATGTTTACAGCTATTGTAGCTTCGTTTTCAACTGCAGGTAAATCATACCTTTACCTAAAGGCAATAAGGCGCAAATAAGAGCAGATCACTTGCTCCGGGGGGTGCACTCAAGGGAAGTCTTAAAAGAGCTGTGTCGCCGAGAGTCACGTTAGTCACGTTAATAAAGTATGTATGTATGTATGTAAAGTATGTATGAGACCTTCAAACCTCGACACTGTTTAAGATTCTGATATTGATTTGTTTTGTTTTACATAAAGAATCAAATAGTTTTTTAAACTAACATCACGGAAATAGATACTTTGGTATATTGGTATTGCAAATGTAAACTGCTCATCGCTAGCCTTCACAGTCTTTTTAAGGCTTCCAGCCCAAAAAGACATTGTTCACGACGCTTTTAAGCGAATTTACTATTAAAATAATAATTAGAATTTTACTATTAAAATAGTAAAATTCTACACTATTAAAATAGTAAAATTCTACACCTTGTTTAATACTCAAGACCTTGTGTTCAGCAACACATACATGAACTGTGTAAGCCAAATGACGGAGTGCCCCCACCCCCACCTCGAAACGTGCTCCACTCTTCAGTCTAGAACTTGTTTTAGGACAAAAGCACTATGATCTCATAACTGACATCATCTGCATCTCACCATTCTTCACAGCTGAAATTCGCGTTTGGAAAATTAACATTAACATAAACATATATTCACAAGTACTGCATTTTCTGCCCTAACATTATAAGCTGAAGAAAGGTTCAAACGCATGAGTTGCAACTACTCTCCTGTAACGTGCCAACCAGGGGAGCAGAACGATGGTTCTTCACATTGAGGCTTGATAATTGCTCTTGTAAGTCGAAAAGATGACTCGCATGGCGGCAGATTCTCCAGCTTGACCTTTCAGCCTAAAGCTGGGGATGAATCTCGTAGCGGCGCACTATGCCACTTCTTTCCGTACAGTTCACACACGGGTGCTTCCGTATCTTGAATTTAAAGTTCTCATTGGATATTGATCACTCTTTCCCGCAATACTCGCCATAACTCGGACATACCCTCCATTGGTTGAAGAAGCTGGACTGGTTTCCACTTCCCTTTACCAAGGAAGGCAGCGATGTTATCACAGCCTGTGGTCGAGTTTACACCTATAAGAGCTCCTGGGTCGAGTTGTATATAATGTTCGCGCCTCTTCCCTTTTTCATGTAGCACCTTTTCAAAGTCAAGTTTTTGCTATGAGCAAGCATTAGGACAAGGACATCAGTCTCAGTGTCAGTGTATCAGAGTGCATCACACTGTCATTCCTGCGCGCATGTCGAGCATGGAGAACAATACGCGTTTCAGCCTCTTCATCACGGAACTGTACCTCAGGAACAGGGTCTCTGATCACTGTATGTCTGCGTCTAGTCGTCCGACTGGTCTTCAGTTGTCACAAGGGGAGTCCATGATCCATTTGCCGAGTCTGCTTCTAAATGCTTCGGTTTTGCCCTGTAGAACAAGGAATTTGACGATTTCAGCTTATTTGTGTTGGCACTTAGCAGCTCGTTCCATGACGCCACAGCATAGTGCACCGCAGTAAATCCCTATATTGTACACTGTCAGCGGTAGACGTTATTCTCAGTCTTTTGACATTTTTGATCAACACCTCGCGCTACACGTACAACCACTACGTCTACGCGCGTACTGCGCGAAGTTAGTTACTCCAAGCGACGGCATGGAACATAGCCCCAGAGGAGATCTACAACTTCTGTACCCTGCCGTTTCAACGAAACTGACGGTTATGTTCTCGGCTTTCCGGATCTGTCCCAGAAGTGCCATCCAAGCACAAGAGGAAGTACTAGATCCTTGTTGCGAACCTTATGCACAACTAGCTTTCACCTTCGTTAGCTTTCTTCATTGGATCAAAGAAAGCGTGGGATTGGATGAGCAACGGCTCATTACAAAGTCATTCGCTGGCTGCTTTCTCTTGCCGTGGAGGGCAGTCAGTCATCACTCACTTCTGTGTAGACAAGCTTAGCGAGTTGCAAATCTCTGTCGTTGGTGAACTTACTTCGGCCATTACATTGATTTTGATGAGACGCGCGGGAAATTCACATTCCGCTGAAACCTCTGAAACTGATTCCGGTCATGGACGCGTGACTGGATAAGGTTCTCCACTAAGAAATTGTTTTCAAGAAGAGACTCTATTCAATACACTTACATTGTAAAAATATGATTTATTTACTTACTCTTTTCTGAAACAATTTTCTAAACGTTACATTTTTTCTAGTTATTAAACAAATTGCGAACTGCCGGTCTTACCGAGTGACCAATAACGGGCGATGTTGATTCGCATAGGACGTCAGGTAGTTATAATTTAAGCACTAGAAGACACAGAAGTCATGCTTTTCGTTCAAATATGTTTTAAATCTACGCTAAAACAAAATTTGTTTACGTTCAAAGAATATAGGCAACTTTTCAGCCTTCCCCGAAATTCAAGATGGCGGCCAAAAGGAGATTACGAGGGGCAAATTTGAATTTCGATTTTCAAAGTGAAAGCTACCGTTTTATCCTTGCTATCATGCATTTTTGTGTTGCTTAATAGTCAAAGATTAATATGTGACATGTTTCGCCTGTTCCCCTCGAGTGCGCCATAAACCCAAATTTTCGGCTCTCAGCTGATGGACTAAGTAAGTTAATTCAAGACAGTCTTAGATTCTGGATTCCAGGTACTGGAATCCGGATTCCTTGTCAGTAGAATTTGGATTCCGAATTCCAATCGTAAGCTGTATTTTGGATTCCTTGAGCTGAATAACGAATTCCAAAGCAAAGGATTCCAGATTCCAAAAGCAGAAATTTCCTGGATTCGGAATGGATTCCACAAGCAGAAATTACCCGGATTCCGCAATCCAGAATAGGGACCTTACGATCCGACAACGGCGACGCCAGTGAAAACGTCGGTGAAAAATAGACTTTGCGTCCTTTAAAAACTTTTTCGCCCTTTTACCAAGTCACCCAGTTACTTGAAAGGAGGGAAGTTAAGTTGGCACTGAACAGAGGGGACCGCGTCCGGGCAGAAAGAGATAGTAAAAGTTATCGCCTTGCCGTTTCCGTTCTCAACTCAACTCAAAATTTGGTCATTTCACGTTGCAGTTTTGCAGGGACTGCAAAGAAATATACAAAAAAGCGTGATGCACGTGCAGAGTTGTCGTTTTGCTCATTAAACTTATTGCTGTTTTGACGTTCCCGTTGCCGTCGCCTTCGTAGTTTCGTAAGGTCCCTATTACCTTTCAGCGAGCGACGTGAGTTTGGGTCAGTCTGGTGGCAAAATGCAACATGAGACTGTTCTGGTGACTGTTCTACAGTCGAATCTCCATTAAGTGGCCACCCTCTATAAAGCGGCCGGTAATCAAAGTCCCGAACTAATTGCAGAAAATAATTAACAATAATTATTATTATATAAACACCAATGAAATACCAGGTGAGCTTTCGCGCGAAAACTTGATATCTTCACATGTGAAAATATCACCTTTTGCAATGGCTACATAATAAATCGCGCCTTTCACACCAAAAAACTATTAAAGTGAAATGGTTTGGTATTTCATTGGTGTTTATATATTAAAAGAACATTACATGGCCGCTTGGAGATACGAAATTTCTCTTCTCGTGTTAAAAAAATATTTTTCAACACTCTAAGAGAATCAAAATAAAAACTACCAGTCCACACTAATACAGATATATTTGAACAGGAAGAAATAAAACAAAATAAAATAAAACGTACACAGAATGTCTTCCGTCCGCGCTGAAGAGGATAAATTTGGAAACGCGACATTGCCAAAGACACCACAAGACCAACGAGACGTCAGCGTTTTCGAAAAGTTTTCTTTTCAAAATGCATGTTTTTTAACCACAATAAAATGCCACCAGCGTTCTCAAATTTATCCACATTGATGAGCGATCCGGCTAAGTGTGGACGGAACCTTACTTGATCGCGGGATCTTCCAAAAATCAGACAGTTAAGATTCCCTCAATCACTGGGGGAGACCAAAGACTTCCAAATCGGTCGTTAAAAATTCGTTTCTACCGACAAATAGATATTCATTCTTGAGTGAGGCTCCGAAGCCAGTTCCAAAAGCCGTCCAGCCAAATCTACGATTTTTTTCTAACCCCAGTGTTGAAATGTCGCTTCCTTCGTTAGATCCGAAAGCTGGTCCAATAGAAGAGCCACACCTTATTCCACCAACTACTAAATATTCATCTCTAGAAGGAACTGGATATATCTTCTTTGGAGCAAACCCCTTTGGATTGTGTAAACTGAACAGAAAACACGACGGATACGGAATCAAAGTACTGCGCTCAGAAGCTGAAATTTTAAGGAACGAAAATAAAAATAAAATTCAAACTAAGGTTACAAAAAATGGTACTTGACCCTGTATATTCAGGAGGGGGATCAAGAAGGGGGTGGGAGGGGTGGCTACATTTGACCATTTTCCTGTTTAAATGTTCTTTTGAAAATTTCGTTTTCTGGGGGAATGTACTACCTTAAATAACGTTTTAGAGAAAACAGGTGGAACTAATTTTACTTCGTTTATAACTTCCGTGTGAACCATGGTTTCTCTGCGTAACCTCCAAGACATTGTCGTCACTCTTGATGACAACAAGAGTTGGACACTTTCCATCGCACTTCTCATGAAAATTCTCTGGGTTCCATCCATCCCTGGTTGCTTTGTACAAAAGATGCCATCGGGTATCGCCCGGAAAATCTGTAATCCAGGGTAGCAGGGTATTCTCTTCGTCACGGCTGGTTATTATTGAGGATTCTGTGAATATTTTTGGCACAGGGGACAGTTTGTCAATCAGTCCCTCCAAATTAAAGAACAATGCCTCGGCAAAAAGTTGGCGTTTTATCCTATTCAAAGTCTCTTCACAGCACAACAGCTCCCCATTGCGGAGGTAGTTGAGTATGTACCTGTTACCAGACATAAAGAGAATAATATGTCAAAACTAAGGCGCAGACAGAGATATTAATCATTTCACGATTATCACTCCAGAGGTCAAAAGAGACTAAATCAGTTTTGGCCCGCGGCCTCATACCTTAATAGGAAGGATGAGTGTCGGCTCATTTTCTCAATACCGATACACCACCGATACCTTACCAATACTCGATCGACAATTCACCGATACATTGCCGACACACTACCGATGCTATCACGACCGACTGTCGGTCGATCTGTCGACCGACAGGAAACACCACTCGGCCGATATATCGACCGACTCACGATCGACAAATAGGGCGATACTCGACCGAATCTCGACAGACATAGCGGCCGATATGTCAATCAACAGTCGACCGAGATATCGGCCGATACATCAATCGAGACCCCCCCCGTAAAACACATGATCCGATAAATCTGCTATGAGACAGTCTTTTGAGCAGACTACAATGTCTAACCATTTGCAGGGGTGAAATGTATGCAGCACTATTACAATTAGGAAGACCCCGAGTGTTGGTGTGGATGGTAATTGAACTGGGCCCTGCCAATCCAAAGTCTTAACTCAACCAAATATTAGGATAACAAGTCCAAGGTTTATGGTCACTGTTTGAGAAATATCTACTTCTAAAGACTTTTGAGTGTTGTATTCTTTCTGAAAAAGGGCCACTAGTGGTTTTCATGTTGTTACCTTTTCCTCCCTTTAAACTCTGAGAGCCATAAAATATTTAATAGAATTCAAAAGTAAACGCGCACCACGTGCACCGTTTTAACCAGAAACAAGAGTGGTGCTGCACTTTTAGGATGGCACAGTAAACTGGTAAAGCAATATACATGTACCCAATAGCAAAAAAGGCAAGTTACAGCTTCTGGAAAATAGGTATTTCCTATTCATTAAACTGAGGACAAGCTGAAAAATCAATTTGGTTACTTTTAATGCCTTGGTATAAAAAGTAACAACTTGACAAAACAAAGCAATAGGATCCGAATCAAAATGTTAGATTAAAGCACTAGGAAAGACTGGATCATCTTAAATGTAAGTGATTTAAGGAGTTTCACTGTTATACGTCCGGTAGTTGAGGACACAAGGAGTTGCATTATTAATTGATTGATTGATTGACTGATTATTTTTTTAATGGGGCAAAAACGTCACTAAAAAAATTGACAAACAGATTTGTATCACCCTGGAGCGAGACTTTATGTTGTTTGTGCATTCCCAAAAATATCAATCAAATCTAATCTAAATCTAAATCTTTAATCCCTTCAACTCCAAGTCACGGGAATCGAATTTTGATTGATTGATTGATTGATTGATTGAATGAACTGTTTATTCATCTATTATTGAATAAGGTCTAATGATTTAGGCTGAGCAGGACATAATCAACTCAAATATGGGTTACAATCTCTCACACCTGAGGTTCAAGTACACCCCCCCAGGAGGGGGGGACTCCCCTATATAAGCCATATAGCTATGTACCACCCCAAAGGGTGGGGTCTTTACAGCATTTCGGTCTTAACGGGTTTAGACTTTGCCTATTTTGGCCTGGAATCCGGTATGGTTTTTAAGGGATCCACGGGATATGAATATATTTACCAATGCAGTTCCAAATGACTAATATGCAAATTCGAAAGGGATTTTAAGAATCCCTTTTTTTTTTTTGCTGTTGTAATCTAAGTAATGATCACAGTGTTTCTTAGAGGCCAGGTCTGAAAATGGGTTTTAATAATGACATTGGTCTGAAATAGAGTCAGAATTCAGACACCCAGGCAGGACACACACACCACGAATTCCCAGGAGTAACCCCCCCCCTTGCCCCTTGGACACACACACTCAATATTGGAATCAAATTATTCAAATTAAACCGAACCATTCAGTTTACCTGAAGAGATCTCCATCCCGGTCAATGAAGAATGAGCCATCTTCATCTAGATTCTCTTCAAATCGACCAGAAAACATGGCTGCCAACATTGAATCTGGGTCCTTTGTCAGGGTTAATAGAGAAGTCTTGAAATAGACACCTCCAACATTCAGCTTCACAGTTTTTTTGGTGTTTTTCTCAACGGATGTCATTTTCTGTTGTATTAATTAATAAAATAATATTTGTTAATTTTTTTAGTAGCATTGGCCTTTTTCACACTAGAGATGGATTATCCCTCTTTGGGTGCATTTGATTTCAAAAGCATATTCCAGAAAAAAAATATTTATATGTATATGGAAAAGCTTTGTTGCAAATTTCTGGTACTGTAATGGTTTTTAAAGGCGCCTTAAAAATTACATGTACATACATCGGGATACTTCATTTCATAAAGATTTTTAGCTTTTGAGAGGAGAAGCTGTTTCGTCTTGTTGCCATGGTAGCAAAAGTTCTGGATGACAACAAACTGAAAACATCACTTAGAAAGTGAATTCACATTGTTTCAAACTTCATTGATCTTATTCAATTTCATTTTGAGTCAAATGTTGGTGAAATTTTCTGGCGTTGAATCTGAGAGGACCATATCTAAGTTTAAAAAAAAAAAAGAAAATTTTTGTGTCGTGTTCACGTACACCATGAAGCAGGCGCATAGAATTAGGCCTTTTCATGTCACAGTCATGCAACAATGGCTAAGAAATGTAAAAAAAAAAAGCGTAATGCATAGTTGTTTTGTTAACTAAACCTATTGCTTTTTTGCCGTTCTCTATGCTGTCACTGTTGTTGTTGCTTAAGCTTCCTATTACTCTGATCCAGAAATTTTGCTACCATGGTAACATGACATCACATCTCCTCTCTATTACCAAAATGGGTGATTTTTAGAGTTCATGAACTCCCCTTATTCTTATTCTGGAATCTGGTCAATCAACACTCTTAGACAGACAATCTGTCTTGATGGTAAAACTGGACTATGTTTTGGGCGAATAATTCATCTGATATTATCCATCTGTTTGACGGTCTTTTTGGATTTTGAAGACAAATTATACTACTCATGTGAATAATCTGTCTAAGGGCTTGTCCAAGCAGCACACTACATGATTTATAACCCCCTCAAGAGTTGGTTCAGAAGTAGTGCTAACTTTAAAAGCTTTTCAACAACGTAGTAGATTAGAGCTTTCAAGTTTTCTCGACATCAAATAAGCAATGGCTATACCTTTTTAACAGATTGAACTAACTGTGTGAGAGCTTTGAAGGCATGGTTTATCCTTCTAATATGAATCTATGACAATGCAAACTTCAAATGGTTATCTGTCTCGAATTCACACTAAGACAGAAAAAGTATGGTTACCAGACGGATTAACCATCTGTGGTGTGAAAATGGCCAGTTAAGCCAAGGTGAGTTGTATATTGTGACACTACTATTCATTCAAAATATTTCCCCATTTTTGATTAGCTGAAATCCTACGCATAATTCATTTTAGTAAAATCCATGCAACTAGTGGTCTATTATCAATGCTACATTCTGATTGGTTGAGCTACTACCAGGCTATATGTTATAGCCCACTAGTAGCGAAAAGTGCCGGCTTTGAAAACCAAAACAATGGCGGCTGAATAGCGTTTTGCTAGTTAAAGTTAGTTTTGACCAACTAGTTGGATTTTACTAAAACATTTGTTCCTCTCACCCTCATGGCCTCTGAGTCAATAGCCCATTTGGCTAAAAAATGTAATTGTTTTTGGGTACCTGCCTATGATCTCTTCACCTCTGCTTGCAAAGTAGTATTTCCCACAGCAATCTCGACCGGCGTTCAGAGATTGAGGAACACGTGGTCGTCTCCGTGAGAACTAATTTGCCACAAATGGCAGACCATATTAAGCGGGTTTAATTTAATAGAAAATGTAAGTGCTTTCTTTTCCCGGGAGAAAGCAAGCTGTCCGTACTAATGAGGTGTCCATATTTATAATAAGCGGGTGTCCGTAAAGAAGGGTGTGACTGAACCGTATATCAAATATTAAACGGGTGAATTTGTCTACGAATTACCGAAAACGGGACTGGGTTATTTGTATAAAGCTAATCTTACCAATGAAGTGCATAAAACAGTTAAAGGACCTCTTAAAGCGTCGTAAGACAAACCTCCAAAAGTAAAATCAGCAGTAGCGGAGCGGTAAGCACTACATGGTAGCACACCATATAGTCGTGCGACATAAATTAATTGAACACTGTACACAGCGTCTTGTAAGTAGTACGCATTTCTCAAAACTCCTCTTTTCTGTACTTTCTACTCCTCGCTTGTCCCTTGTGTCCTTTTATGTCCTTTTATGTCCTTACTAGTCCTTTTGTGTCCTTACGAGTCCTTTGATGTCCTTACTAGTCCTTTTATGTCCTTTTACGACCTTATTAGTCCTTTTGTGTCCTTACTAATCCTTTTCTGTCCTTATTAGTCCTTTTATGTCCTTACTAGTCCTTTTATGTCCTTTTCTGTCCTTATTAGTCCTTTTGTGTCCTTACTAGTCCTTTTGTGTCCTTACTAATCCTTTTCTGTCCTTATTAGTCCTTTTATGTCCTTATTAGTCCTTTTATGTCCTTTTACGTCCTTATTAGTCCTTTTATGTCCTTTTACGTCCTTATTAGTCCTTTTATGTCCTTACTAGTCCTTTTATGTCCTTACTAGTCCTTTTATGTCCTCTTACGTCCTTATTAGTCCTTTTATGTCCTTACTAGTCCTTTTATGTCCTTTTACGTCCTTATTAGTCCTTTTATGTCCTTTTACGTCCTTATTAGTCCTTTTATGTCCTTACTAGTCCTTTTATGTCCTTACTAGTCCTTTTATGTCCTCTTACGTCCTTATTAGTCCTTTCATGTCCTTACTAGTCCTTTTATGTCCTTACTAGTCCTTTTATGTCCTTTTACGTCCTTATTAGTCCTTTTATGTCCTTATTAGTCCTTTTATGTCCTTTTCCGTCCTTACTAGTCCTTTACCGTCCTTTTCTGTCCTTTTCCGTCTTTTTATGTCCTTATTAGTCCTTTTGTGTCCTTACTAGTCTTTTTATGTCCTTACTAATCCTTTTCCGTCCTTTTACGTCCTTATTAGTCCTTTTGTGTCCTTACTAGTCCTTTTGTGTCCCTACTAGTCCTTTTGTGTCCTTACTAATCCTTTTCCGTCCTTTTCTGTCCTTATTAGTCCTTTTATGTCCTTACTAATCCTTTTCCGTCCTTTTACGTCCTTATTAGTCCTTTTGTGTCCTTACTAGTCCTTTTGTGTCCCTACTAGACCTTTTGTGTCCTTACTAATCCTCTTCCGTCCTTTTCTGTCCTTATTAGTCCTTTTGTGTCCTTACTAGTCCTTTTGTGTCCTTACTAATCCTTTTCCGTCCTTTTCTGTCCTTATTAGTCCTTTTGTGTCCTTACTAGTCCTTTTCTGTCCTTTTCCGTCCTTTTCTGTTCTTATTAGTCCTTTTGTGTCCTTACTAATCCTTTTCTGTCCTTACTAGTCCTTTTATGTCCTTACTAGTCCTTTTATGTCCTTTTACGTCCTTATTAGTCCTTTTGTGTCCTTACTAGTCCTTTCGTGTCCTAACTAATCCTTTTCCGTCCTTTTACTTCCTTATTAGTCCTTTTGTGTCCTTACTAATCCTTTTGTGTCCTTTTCCGTCCTTTTCTGTCCGTATTAGTCCTTTTCTGTCCTTACTAATTCTTTTCAGTCCTTTTACGTCCTTACTAGTCCTTTTATGTCCTTAATAGTCCTTTTCTGTCCTTATTAGTCCTTTTCTGTCCTTACTAATCCTTTTCTGTCCTTATTAGTCCTTTTGTGTCCTTACTAGTCCTTTTCTGTCCTTTTCCGTCCTTTTCTGTTTTTATTAGTCCTTTTGTGTCCTTACTAATCCTTTTCTGTCCTTATTAGTCCTTTTATGTCCTTACTAGTCCTTTTCTGTCCTTACTAGTCCTTTTCTGTCCTTATTAGTCCTTTTGTGTTCTTACTAATCCTTTTCTGTCCTTACTAATCCTTTTCTGTCCTTACTAGTCCTTTTATGTCCTTTTACGTCCTTATTATTCCTTTTGTGTCCTTACTAATCCTTTTGTGTCCTTACTAATCCTTTTCTGTCCTTACTAGTCCTTTTGTGTCCTTACTAGTCCTTTTCTGTCCTTATTAGTTCTTTTGTGTCCTTACTAGTCCTTTTATGTCCTTACTAGTCCTTTTCTAGCCTTACTAGTCCTTTTCTGTCCTTACTAGTCCTTTTATGTCGTTACTAGTCCTTTTCTGTCCTTACTAGTCCTTTTATGTCCTTTACCGTCCTTCTTTGTCCTTACTAGTCCTTTTCCGTCCTTACTAGTCCTTTACCGTCCTTTTCTGTCCTTTTCCGTCTTTTTATGTCCTTATTAGTCCTTTTGTGTCCTTACTAGTCTTTTTCTGTTCTTACTAGTCCTTTTCTGTCCTTACTAGTCCTTTTATGTCCTTTTACGTCCTTATTAGTCCTTTTGTGTCCTTACTAGTCCTTTTCTGTCCTTACAAATCCTTTTCCGTCCTTTTACGTCCTTATTAGTCCTTTTCTGTCCTTATTAGTCCTTTTTAGTCCTTACTAGTCCTTTTCTGTCCTTACTAGTCCTTTTATGTCCTTACTAGTCTTTTTCTGTCCTTATTAGTCCTTTTCTGTGCTTATTAGTCCTTTTTAGTCCTTACTAGTCCTTTTCCGTCCTTTTATGTCCTCGTTAGTCCATTTCTGTCCTTATTAGTCCTTTTGTGTCCTTACTACTCCTTTTCTGTCCTTACTAGACCTTTCTTGTCCTTACTAGTCCTTTTCTGTCTTTACTAGTCCTTTATATTAGTCCTTTTCTGTCCTAACTAGTCCTTTTATGTCCTTATTAGTCCTTTTATGTCCTTAAGTTCTTTTCCGTTTTTATTTGTTCTTGTCCGTCCTTACTAGTCCTTTAGTGCTTTAAGTCGTCTTTTTCTTTCCGTACTAGTCCTTTTCGGTTTTAACCAGTCCCTTTCCGTCCTTAATAGTCCTTTTATTTCCTTGTAGTCTTTTTTTGTTTGATTTGGTGCTAATTTTTTCCTTATTACCCGTGTTCTTTCTTGAAAGTCTTTCAGTACTTGTAACACGTTGACCATGTGTAATATGACTGTTGTATTATGAAGGTAAAAATAATGATGATGCAATA